ATATATATACATATATATATATATATATATATATTTATTATAAGAAGTGCAAATCAATAGGTCCATAATTTGGCTGTCTGTCTGTTGCATCTGCTAACCCAAAAATTGTGTACAAAGTACGCTATTCGTGCTCCAGCTAAACTAGCTGACAACACCTAACTTAAAGCACTAACTAAAACTTGTTAGATTTGTATTTATCTTCATCTATCTATCTGAACATTAGGAACTTTTAGCGCAAGCGTATTTCTATCCCAGTAATATACTATTACTGGCAGATTCATTCATGGATCTCTTTTGTGGGTTGTGTTGACTAGGAAAGTCATGCTTTATTGGGTTGCTATTCAGAGATGCTACAACTTGGTGTTTGCATTCAGCTTTTTGCTTCAAAAATTTTTTAGGATTTCTTTTTCTTGTTAGAATTAATTATAGTTACACAAACCTTAACGTGGGTGCAAGATGGTGCTTTCATGTGGGGTGGCTTTCCCTAGGTGAAACCCTCATATATTGGGAACAAAATTGGAGCCTCAGGAAACAAGAATTTCTGGGTTTTTTTTCCCTTCCCAATGGTGAAATTATTGAAAGCACTTTACCAATTTACCAGAGACGTGGATGATGCTGACGATCTCCATGTTCTCCCCGCTTTAAAGATTTTCTTTCCACTTTTCTTTGATTCCTATTCTTGCCACTGGCAAAGTAGAGTATTAAACATTATTCTGGACTTGGTGCTTGTTCTACGTTAAAAAAGATGAAATTAACGTGAATATTTAATTGCTCCTCCTGGACTTGCTATCTGATTAAATTTGTTATGGCCTCTTGCCTCACAAATTATTTTTCCTTGAAGTAAACCCCTATTTTTGTTTAGATATTATAAATATAAACATTTCATTATAATTCTTATTTTATTTTAAATTCTAAATCACAAGTATTTGCTCATTTCAGTCTTTTCTGTTATAATTTTTAAAAAGAACAAAGTCAACGAAAATTTAATAAAGTCAAATGATTGGCATATATATAATACTCTAATAAGGGTTTACTCTTAAAAGTTGAAACTATTGCCACACGAAATTTTGAAAGAGTGCCTGTGCATGCACACGTTTGAATTCATTGCTGGACCCTTGGCTCTGAAACAATTTATAACGAATAAAAGCTCACGCGAGCATTACTATCTTGTCAAGCAGCCTAGTTGTAGTGACAGTTCAAATTCTGAATGGTGCAAGACCTCATTTATAGATAGGGTGGCTTGCTATTGTGGTCAAACAAGATTTTGTAGTAGTATTTATTTATGTATAAAGCTCAGGAATTAAAATCCGCTGACTGCAGAAACCATAGGCAATGAACTGTTTGAAAATTCAGTTCACATATGTACCCAAATTCATAGCATTATAATTTAAGAAAGAACTGTTTAAGATTAAAATAACTTCATAGAATATATTATACATGTTATTGGTCTAAAAGAAAGGACTAGTAACCAAAGACGTGGTACACAAAAATTCAAATCTCATCCTAGCGTGATGTTATATTTAATATTTTTCTTATAATAAACATGTATTATATCATATTATTAGTAATAAGTGTCATTAGATTGTCGATGATTATTCTCTATTAAAACTTTTGTCCGGTTATTTTTAATGAGATTTTCTTTTCTAATCATATTTTTTATCTATAATATTCAAACCTTTTTTGTTTTTTTTCCAAAATTTGGTGATATATTTATCTGACAGCATTGTCTACGAAGGAAAACCAGAAAAACATGTTATTGTATCTCAATCTTTTGATTTTCAAATTAATGATCTAACTGCAGTGTCTGACGAGGTGCATCCAGACCTAAAGGCAATTGAAAGAACATTATTAGGGCATGTAGCATAGCCGAGAATAAGGGGTGGAGTTGAATTAGTGGTATTGAATCGGCTAAGCTAAGCGAAAGAGGTGAGTACACCATAATTGTACGTTAGTCTCTGCTGTGTGGCATAATGGTAGTTGTGAGAGTGGTCCCAACAATGCCGTGTACTGGTTAGAGATGACACATAGGCCTTCTACCTTTAGCTCAGAGAGACCAGGAGGAGCAGTGTCTGTGTCGGTGTCTATCTATCTGTGAGGGTGCAAGCTAAAGTGCGTGATGAAGAAAACAAGGTTGGTGTTCTGAGTTACTAAGCAAGCCGTGCACGTACCACTGAAGTGAACTTAAAAGGATGTCGAAAACGAACAAACCCATTATCTCTTGTAAACTCACCTTATTTCACATCTGCGTTTACCATATTAAAACTGAAAAACACACTATTTAA